TACATGATAATTACAATTATAATAAAATTTATTAGTGATATAAAAAAAAAACATCAACATTTATACGAATTTAATAATACAAACCATTAAAAACTATACAAACTTAATTGTCAATCATTAAATAAATGAAGCATGTTTTTTATTAGAAAAAATATGTTGGAAAATAATAATAATAATAATAATAATAATAATAATAATAATAATAATAATAATAATAATAATAATAATAATAATAATAATAATAATAATAATAATAATAATAATAATAATAATAATAATAATAATAAAATATAGATGTAGTGGATTATGATTGTGTTAGCCGAGATTTGGTGTTAAAATAATTAGAAAAAAAAAGCTGCAAAATAGGAGATAAAATAAATATATTTACACATAAATTAATTTATTTTTACAAATATGTCATTAGGGTTTCTTAAGTTACCCTAGCGTTTCTTTCTTTTATATATAAGATTAATAAAATCAATTACCGGATTTATTGTAAATCATGTCTATTTTTTATTTTATAAAATCAATTTAAATTTATTTTAATTATGTTCGATTATGGTGAAATATATATGTATACATGTTTTAGTATATATGTATTTATATAAATTAACTAATATAAAAAATATATGATTTCCTTAAAATCGTTTCATTTACTTATTTAGTGCGTGAAAATTAAGTATAAATACCCCCAATCTCAACCCTAACTCATTCATCTCACTCTTCTTCTACAGATTTTGTTATAATCATGCTAAACTAAGGTCCTCATCCTAAAACTTTGTTTTTTTCCTTTTGTTTTATAAATTCATAATGCAGTTAGAATTTCTCGATGTGTTCGCTTGAAGCATTTTATTTGTCGTGGAATATTTATAATGTTTTTATTATGTATGATATAACAATCTAATTTATGTTTGTTTTGCTTTTTTTTTTCTTTTTTGTTTTTACAGATTCATGGATAGCATCGTCTGTGTTATACGCGGCGATATTAGCAAGAAAGAAGCCATGCGATGTTGTATAACACGCAAAAATATGATTTGGAAATACTGTAAGGAAAGATTTAGAAAAAAAAAATAGTTATGCATTTCCATTTTTTGATTATACGTTAGATAATTGTAAGCTTGGTTTCGATGAAAAAGAAATTGAGATTAATGAACTTGAGCATGTAATAGATTTTATTTAATGTTTATATATTTTTGTAACAATATTAATTGTAAGCTTGGTTTCGATGCTTATTTAAAATAATTACTTATTAATTTTATATAACAAGCTATTTATTTTCTTACTTACTTTTTGTATCTTAATTAATTAACAAAATGAGTTATAGACTGAATATATTTTTTTCAAAAACAAATGTTGATTACATTTTAACACTATTCGCCATCAGTATAAATTTCAAGTTTCACCATCTTTATACGCCTCACGCCCAACAATAATTACACATAAAACAAGTTCAATTTTTTTTTAATTCTCATTTATATTATTACACGATTTCATATAATATTTGACAAGTGTCATCAGTTACATTTGACATCTGTAAATTTTTATTTTGTCCGTTCTCTTTTAATTTGTTTCAATTATTTGCAAATTTTATTTTTTGGTAATAAAAACTATTTTTCTTGGTGTTACATGGATTTTTGCAAAAAAAATAAAAATTTCTTCCTTAATTAAAGAAAATAATTTATACATGTATGAATTCAAAAGAAATCACATTATATTGATTCTGCTGAATATTTAAAACTTAACGAGGGTAGTTTCACATTGAATTGATTTTCTTTATTTCGAGGATGCAAAATAACAAATTAAATTATTATTTTCTTCAACCCCCAATATAATTTCGAGCATACAAAATGCATAAAAACAAAAATCAGTACGAATTACTGAAAAAACTATATTTTCTCACAAAAAAAATATTCTCACTAAATTATTTGATTGGTGAATTTTCTAAAGTAATTAGTGAAAATATTTGGTACAAATCTTTGGAAGAAAATATAATTTTCAAATAACTTGATACTTAAATTGCTGAAGAATATTTTTTATTCTTTTTATTTTTTGTAAAACAAATATTGTGAAAAAAAAAATAATATGTTGATTTAATTTTGTACTTTGTAGTTTCGAAAGGATTGATGAATAAAAAAACTAATTTGAAATTTGGCATCCTATCAAATAGCACAAAAAAATATTAAATTACCTTTATGAGCTATAAAAAAAATTCGAGGTGCATACTGCATATGCATAATAATTTGAGTTAATTTTATTTCATATTTCGATTTTTTTTTGAAATTCATAACATAATCTTTATATTATATATTTAACAAATTATTTCTTAAATCGAATCTATAATCAATATTTTAAAAATAAAATAAACTGAAATAATGATAAACATTAAATTATTTATTTTGTGATATATTTGGTGAAATGCCACGGGAGACCAAACCATTCTCTATATGTGGTGAAATGGTTAAATAGTTTTATTTTATTATTTGGTATAAATGAAATGCATAGAATATCACTAAACACTATTTTGAACAAAAAATGGTGAAAGCGTAAAATAGTATATTACGGGTGGGAGATGACCCATTTTTTCACCACCAAAATAGAATTTGGTAAAAAAGTAGGTATAACATCATATTTAAGTGTGGAAAAAAATGGGAGATGACCCATTTTTACTCTCTCTCTCTCAATACATCCTATTTAAATTTTAAAGGGTAGATGGCACTTAACCCCTGTGGTTTCACCTTTGTGCACTTTACCCCCCTTTGGTATCAATTTTTTTTAGGTAATTAAACCCCCTGTGGTTATCCATTTGCAGCAGCCTTCCAATTAACTAATAAAAAATATTAAATACCTTAAATACCCTTTTATTTTTCTACTATTTGTAGGTAAAAAGCATGACTAAACTCTTATATTTTCCTTTATGGAAAATTGTAAATTCAATATGATTTAATTATAAATAACCCAAATTCATAGGACTAAACTACAAAATTTTAGAATTTCTTGAAAACCCGATCCTAATCATCATCTTCTCCGTTCAGGCATTCACAATCCATTCCCTTCTTCTCCGTTCACATCCTCCACTACTTCTTTCCTTCCACTATCTTATCTCCACAATAATCCTCCATCCCCTTCTTCTCCTTTCAATTGCTAACGTCGTCGGAGGCTAATCACCATTTTTCGTACTTGAACCTGCAAAATGGAATTCGGCTTTGGAGAGTTGAATCGGAGAGGATAAGGAGAAATACATCCCTCAAATGAGATTTGCTGAGGTTGGTGTACGGCGGATTTTCTGAAGGAAAAAATAAAGATTGAGGGGCGTGTGTGTGTGTTGGCATCGCCGGAGGATAAAGTGAAAGGTTGGGGGTGTGTGTGTGCGCGGCGAATCTTATGAAGAAAGAAAGGATTTTAATTAATTTTTAAAAAGTTTCAATTTAACCACTTTAGTTTCAACATTGTTTTCAATTTGATCCCTTAATTTAAAAAAAACTACCTGTTTATGGACTGGGCGAGTGAAATGCACTCAATTCGGGAGAGTGAGTTGCACTATCCGTTAGTTTTAACCGATTCTTAAACGGCCGCTACACCTTGACAACCACAAGGGGGTAAAATACTTAAATTGATACCAGAGGTGGTGAAATGCAAAACTGGGAAACCACAAGGGGGTTAAGTGCTATTTACCCAATTTTAAAAACTATTATATATTTTTTTACACTTATAAACATGAATTTGAAGATATACTACTATATGGCATGGAATCATTTAGTATTAGTATTGGTTTTGGTATTTGTATTGATGTTGGTATTGATATTGGTATTCGTATTGGTATTCGTATTGATATTGGTATTAATGTTAGTGTTAGTATTAGTATTTGTTAGTGTTAGTGTTAGTGTTAGTGTTAGTGTTAGTGTTGGTGTTAGTGTTAGCATTAGTGTTAGTGTTAGTGTTAGCATTAGTGCTCGCGTTTCATAATTCGCGTTCGTGTCGGCGTTGGCTTTGGCGTCGGCGTTGGCATTGACATTGGCATTATCATTAGCATTAGCATTAGCATTAGCATTAGTCTTAGTATTAGTATCAGTATTAGTATTATTGTTACTATTAGTATTAGTATTAATATTAGTCTTAGTATTATAGTGTTAGTCTTAGTGTTAATATTATTGTTATATTAGTATTAGTATTAGTGTTAGCATTAACACTAGCATCACCATTAGCATTAACATTATGTATTAGTATTAGTATTAGTATAAGAATTAGTATTAGTATTAGTATTATCATTAGGATTATGATTACGATTAGTGTTAGTGTTAGCGATTGTGCAAGAGTTTTTTGTTTAATTAGTGGCATCACTGATTCGACGTGGTTAATGATAAATATACATGTTATTTTGCTTATATTATATGCTATCAAGTTCATTACACATAAGATTCACGTGTCGATTGCATTACAGGAAATATTTGTGTCATTTGATATAAATGATGTTATTAGTTTTAGGTTTTGTAGGTTGCATATTTATCTATATAATATTTAATTGCACTTCATATCCTACAACTTTGCATCAAGATCAAGAGATAAATTTCCTTCATTAATTTCATTACTAATTAATCCCCGTGCATCGCACGGGTGAGCTACTAATTGTTGTTAAAACTAAACACTTAATTAATTTAAGTTGGGGAGTAAAAAATACCTAAATTAGGTAAAAACAAAAAAAAAAAGAGAGAAAATAATGTTGAATGGAAGATGCCCTTTGTTTGGGGCAAAATTAGTGATTTTTACCCTAATACTAATTTTACACAAACAGCAACACACACATATCGACAATATATAAACACACACACACACACACACATATACAATAATACATACATACATACATATAAATCATAATAATCGAATTATAAGGGTCAATTTGCTCAAAAACTGTAGCAGCCGTCTTCCAATTTCAATTCATCAGTTGGCTAAATTCCGTGAATCCAACTGAGTATATTAACACCGAGGCCGAGGGTTTCAGAATCAAGATTCGAAGAGCGTAATTCGAATCGTCAAAAAGGAAATTAATCATGAGGAAGAGAGAGAGAGAGAACCCCTGCGGGATTTGCGGGCACTACCACAAGTACGAGGAGGGTGAGGTCTGTGGCATCTGCGGCCACCGCCTGGCCGTCGGTTCCGAGCAATCCGCCTCCTCCTCCGTCCACGTCAGCGCCTTTCCGTCGGAGATCTTGCCGGAGTTCCTTTACCTTGGAAGCTACGATAATGCCGCCCGCGCCGAGCTCCTCAAGTCTCAGGGCATCTCACGTGTCCTCAATGTAAAACCGATTTCTCTCTCTCTCTGTTTGTGTTTTGATTTTCTCTGCTGATTTGGTTTTGTTTTTCTCTAATTGTGAAGTTTGGTAATTGATGTGAATAAATGTGTGTAATTGGGCATTGGAAGTTTAAATTTCTAGTTGTTTGGCAAGTTGTTGTGATAGAATCGAGTCTGCTATAATCACTCTTTCTTGAATTTCTCATATCGTTGGATTTGAGAAGCTTATGAGGGGATTTCTTTTAGGAGTGTTGGGTTAGCAAATAAAGAAATTCATGAACATCAAGCCAAAAATTTAAACTGGTTTAGCAAGAGATACCATAATAACCGGGCTTTCGAATAGGTTGGTGGATCTCACAACATCTATGCTGGCCTAACTGTCTTTTTTGCTCTCATGCAAATAAACCCACTTGAAAGTTGGGCATCTGAGCAAGGCACCCTTTAATTATATCTATTCGGCTACCGGGGAACATTCAAGCATTTAGAGTTCCTTTTTGGTTTTCTTTCAGTCGAGGTGGGGAGGGAGATTAATAGTTCAGTAGCTACAGCCTTTTTTTTTTTTTTTTCTCTTCTAATTTCCCCCCACTTTTCCCGGGGTTTTAATGATGAAATATGTTTTACGGAATAACATAGGGAGCTGCATATGAGATTCTTCTTTAAATTTGAGTTGTGGCAGTCTGTCCCACTTTGCTGATTATCCATTGCTGACGACAAAGCCAACGTAAACCACGTGGTGCTGTTAGTTTTCTGAAGTACCTTTGGGTGCTGAAGGCATTATGTACATCATTTGCAGACTATTTTAAGAGATAAAACAACTCCTATGAAAGAACATCACTAGTTTAGGAAAAAAATCAAGTAGTGCTCTTCGTTCTTAGTTCTGTTATAGTCACCAATGATCAGAAATGACAGAAATAAATATCCTACGGATGTTCTTTACCTAATATTACAGTCTGGATAACACTTGACGAGTTGCTGTTCAGGATTCAAAACCTTGCGTTTATTTGTGTAAATCCCAAATTTTCTTTGTTTTCCTTTCATGTGGTTGAAAATATAATCACCTATTAAAAGCAATGATTTTCATGTAAACTTTCGTGATTGGTGAATAGTATACAAGCCCGTCTTTGCCAAATTGAAGATTACGCATTTACTTCTTCTTAGTAGCTATATTTGACTACTCCTGATTGGTTTAGCTGCTTGATGTATTGAGCCTTGAGTTTTCACTTCTGCATACAAATGTGCTGCAACTTATTTCTTTGTGAGGGGGTGTTTGTTCATTTACCAGAAACTTTTGTATGTGTTAATTGAAATTCTTTACAAGTTTTAATAGAACTTTTTCTATGTGCAGACGGTGCCTGCTTGTCAGAATTTGTACAAGAACTCTTTTACCTATCACTGTCTCCAATATGATCAAAAGTTGCCATTTGATGATGCGATTCAGTTTCTAGGTAAAGTCCTTCATCTCTACTATTATTATCTGTTTGCAATATTCACTTCTTTTCTTTAATAATTGTTTCCTCCTTTTGGATTGTTATCTTTGTCGATTCCCCTTAATGCATGTTCTTTTAAGTGATGGGGAAGGGAGAAGTCAAGGGAAGGAGAAAAGTTAGTTTCATTCACACTCTTCATAAACTAGAACACTTCAAGGGAAAAGTTACTCCAATATTTGAACCATGGAAATTGATTTATTGACAGAATTTCTTAGATAACCAATGCATAAATTGAAATTATTGGAGTCAATAGCACAGGAGATATAAGAACCAATTATCGTACTTATTCTTTATTATTTCATAGAAACTTATAGCCAATTATTATATGTTTTATAGTAAATATTATCAATTCCTATGATGCCAAAGCTCGAATTGTGAATATAGCTTTGATAGGATTTATATAGTATTAGTTATGAACGTTAGATGAATCACTTGCATCTAAATATTATCAGTGAATTGTAGCACTCCTAAATAATAAATAGCGTCAAATAGTGTAGTTTTTCTAGTATAAAACCAAAACATTGTTTTTCTATTTGTTAATTTTTTTTAATACAGTAGTATTCCTTTTTGGAGGATAGATTCTATGATGTATGTTGACCCAAAGAGTCGTTGGCCGAACAAATCAAATAGAGATACTTCTCTCCTTGCTTAGGCAAAAGAATAGTAGAATACTTTGAGTTGTTTGTAGTATTCTTTTTACATTATAGAAATGTAACTCAGCATACTTTTAAATATTGAATCAATTTAGGACCTACATCATTATGGTTTTCCTATGTCTTTCACTATTTTAATTATGAACTAAATACCCTTTTCTTATAAATTAGGAATTCTTTTTGCATTGTACTAGCAGATTTTGCAAAGAATATAAGGAGGCTAAGTAATCTAAATAAAAATAAAATAAAAATACTAACATTCCAGACATCAAGGGTTGATAATTTCTGCAACCTTTGAATTACCGGATCAATGTGAATTTCCATGTTATTTAAGTATCTCAACTTCTTGGTTGTTTAATAATGGTACAGATAGATAGATTGTGATGGTGCAGTGCATTCCTTAAAGAGTGTGACTTTCAACGCTCATAACACATGTCTTCTTTCGTATTGATTCTGTTTCTTATTTCCTTCTTTTTGTCCATATACTTTTCTTGCTTTTGATCTGTATATTTCCTTTACATATTTGAAATATACCGAATTTTACAAAAGGGAGATCTTCGGTTTTCAGTTCCCTCTCTAATGCAATGAATAATGTATGGCTGGACTTTGGTTGTTGTTTCATTCATGATATTGAAATTTTTGACATACTATATAGTTTTGTTAAACTCCTTACTCTGTGATGCTTTTTGCAGAACAATGTGAAAAAGATAGGGCGCGGGTTCTTGTGCATTGCATGTCCGGCAAAAACAGGTGAATTTGTTTTCTGCGTACTCGATTATTCACGTCTCCTTTATTTATTTATCTTGTTATCTTTCCAGTTACCCGTTCAAATTTGAATTATGTAACTGATTCTGAATGAAGATCATAGACAATTCCTTCAACGTGCAATTTATTGTTTTTGACAGATCCCCAGCCATAGTAATGGCTTATCTGATGAAAAGCAAAGGTTGGAAACTTGCACAAAGTTATCAATGGGTGAAAGAACACAGACCTTCAGTTGAACTAAACCAAGGTAAGTCAAACCCCCACTTGTTATTTTCAGTACTTGTATAATCGCTAAATCCCAACTAAACTACAAGTCAAACGGAATTCATTTTACAATTTTCATGCAAAAACTACTTATTTCTACCATGCTGAGAACTCGGCTTTTAAGTTAACATCAGATGAATCCCAATAAGATAACTGCCATAGAAAAAGAAAAGGGTAATAGAATAGCAGCTGCCATAAATGGAAAGCTACTAAAAAGAGGAAATTGCGTAAAAAGGAAATATGTATAATCGAATTGTCAGAACGGTGGTGATCATATGTATATAGTCTTCATCTAAAATGTTTCTATATCTATAAATTTCAGGGGTTTACGAGCAATTACAGGAGTACGAGCAAAATATTTTCGGTTCAATCCAGAACAATGGTATTGTGGTTCCAAGTTTGCCATCCTTCAGCTTTGGCTTCTCAACTCCAAACGATCCATCAATTTCAGTTCCAATTTTCAATAATCCCAGTGTGGCTTCGATATTTTCGCGGGCCCCATTTGAAATCCCTCCTCAGGAGTTCACCTTTGGAGCTGGGCAATCTCAGAAGAACAGTTCAGTCGACAACAACAGTCTTGTTGTTAAGGATATTACAATGGATGGTTTTTGACAAGTTTGGATTCTCCGAGGAAATAGTGATCTGTCGAAAGTCCAGGTTTCGGCTTTTGACTATGAAATGTTATTGCATGCACAAAAGGGTGGGAAGGAGTACTGACGAGCCTGTGATATACTGAAGTGTATTAAAACCTTGCCACAGCCAATATGTATACTACGAGAAGGTTTCTTAAGAATGATTTGTTAGTTGAACGCGAGTTCTTTTTCCGTTAATGTTTGGACAATAAAACGAAAGACCAGATACTGTGCCTTGCTTTATCTTCCTTGATTATTTGATCACTTATTTTTATTACTATAATCATTGTTAGCAGGAAAGAGCCAACTTTGAACTGAATGTGTTCGATTACTACCAATGCGGTTTTCTCGATATTCTTATTATAGGTCCTCTATTTCATTTCTTATTTGAAAATTTGGATGCAGGAATTATTTGCTGTTCCACAACTACTATTTTTTATATTTATTTAAAAAATGTAATGTTGTGGGGGAGCACCATATTCCAACTTCATATTGTATTTCAAATATTTACGATCAACATCCACAATTACAATTGCTGGGTGCTGTTCAATGATATAAATTTACAGATAAATTGTACATACATTATACGAATACATCCTGTGACACAGAAGCCTGAGCTGTGTTTATTAACAGTAAATTCCCATTGTACACGTCGCCAAGTGGACATCCTAACGCCTACGTAATGTATGTCTCGAGAGATGATTTGGCAAGCCACAACAAACCTGGATCGTTTCTCTTTAACATTAAAAAAGCGTCGGCCTTTCCCCATTCATCAACAATAACATCTTCCACAAACCCGATCATTGTCAGTATGTCCATAGCAGCTGCAAACATGTTCAATTTTCTTTTCAGATTACAGTTCGACAGACAGATGTGTACAAATTCTACCGGAACAAAGGGAATATAGAAAATTAAATTCTGTGCGACAGATCTTTCACACTCTTATATATATAATGTGTAGAAACTCTATTTCGACAATTGATGAACTTGAAATAACCATTATATAAACATTATAGAATGATGCGAAAAAGCCATAGATTACAGAATTGGAATGTCATATAAGTAGTACAGTATAATTGTAACCATTTTTTGTATATGCGATGCGTGTTCTAATATTACCATAATCAGTTTGGCCCAGGTGAAAGTCATACCTTTGTAAGTAAGAATATTCATTTGTATCGTTGGATTAGCCTGAAACAAATTAAACAAAACAGCCAAAACAAAGTTAGATGGGATATTCCGAGGTCCGAATTAGATTAGTGCAGGTAACATACATACCTTTCTGAGTTTTTTAAACTTGACGTCATCTGGATGTTCAATCACATTACTGCAGACAAAGTAAATCAGCTCTTTAATTTCCAACGCATAATAATCAAACAAAAAAGTAGGAAGATAAATTAGAAAACAACTGGGTGCAGCGTAACCCGTACCGAATTATCTTAATTAAAGTTTGCAGGACCCTTCCAGTCTCCGAGGGAGTAACTTGATATTTGAGCGACTGGACAGCACTTTGCAGACGACCCAAAACCACTGTAACAGGGTCTTGGATTATCTGCAATTCCGGATCATTTGGTTCAGGTTCAGCAGTTTGGCTCCTTGCTATTGGCTCACCAGAATCAGGCTCTATCTGCATCTCATTCCCGTGACTAGGGAACTCTATATTCATGGGCGTAACAGAGTCCCTTTGATCAGGTACCACTGTATTTTCAAATCTCCGATGATTCGGCTCTTCTCCTGAATCAACAAGTTCAGGTTCTAGAGCCTTCCGCTGAATATCTGCATTGAAATTTGGTTCAATCGGACTAACCCGTGATTTGTTGGGATTGGATTGTTCACATTTGTCATTTTCTGAAGCAACAGGCAAAGGGACTTTCGTAAGACGAGGATCCATAGATTCATCATCTTTGTTGTCATCAGAAACATTCTGATTGAAACCAACGCCAGACACGGCACCGAGTTCCTGCACATCCATGTGTATGGTGAGATTACAAATTTATTTCCCCACATGTTTTAGGCAAAATATAGAAGGCATAATAATTAGATTTTGAGTTTTTATGAACCTCAGATGAACTTGAAAATGTGGTGAATGAGTTGGCGAGACGTTCAAAAGCTGCGCTCACTGAAGCAGCACGAGCATTAGGAAGAGCAGAAGCCTGCCCTCCAATCTTTTGTGATGGAGTTGCATTGCTAGTGCTATCAAACTCATCTTCATAGTGTTGCGAATTGGTGACCCCACTCAAAGTATGGCCTCTTGATCGAGTCCAATCAAGATTAGCAGCTTCTTTGTTAAGCTGTTACATCAAAACATTAAAATATGACCAAATGACACCTAATCACCACGGCTCTCTCTCTCTCTCTCACACACACACACACACACACACACACACACACACACACACACATGTGAATCCAGAGCATAGAAGGGATGGATAGTTCCGATTATTACCTGAGAATCCAGAGCATAGAAATTTGAATCATGTTCAGAGAAGACCATATGTGCCTAAAAAGAAGACAAAGATTAAACCTCAGTTAGCACAGAGGACCAAAAAGACAACTGCCTAGTTCCTTTCGATTTAAGCAAAAGATGATAACATACAAGCTCATGCAAAAGAGTCTTTTTAATGCTTCCATATTTCCTGAAACCCTTGAGGTCATCGGTTCGAAGTCTCAGTGATATCTCTTCACCATGATTCTACACACAATACACACACAAATAGCGTGAGAAAGAGATAGAATGACCAGAGATACATGCATGATAACTGAAAGAGTATATATACGGGAGATACAACAAGAGCTTATGAGGACTGGAGTTACGACTACTCGCAAAAGAATGAAACATATCCATATTAGGATCTTCACCTGGTTGAAACCAAGTATGCATTTAGGACTCACTCCAACATAACCAATTGGTGCCATCTCAGTCAAAATTCCCACTCGCCAACGATGCTGTAAAGAAGGCCGATCAAAACAAAGGCTATCACAGTGAGAACTAAAATACAGAAATATGTATTACACACAAGCAGTTAAAAATACAAATAGCTGTACCTTGTTCATAATCGCAACAATTCCTGGATCAGAAGCAAGCTTATGCAGCAATTCCAGAGCCTTCGATGCAGGAGGATCTAACTGCAATCCCAAGGACAATGTCATTTGTCAATAGTCGTCTTCTTAATCCTAAATAAGCCTTGTGAACTAATTTTCTTATTCCAAATTCTAATGGTCCATGACTTCACGTTTTAAATCAACTGAAACATAAGTAGATAGCTACACGATGATAAAAAAAATGCAAACTTACCTCTACTCCAGGAAGACTAAGTGTTCGAAAATCACAGAAGACATAAGTCCCTTGAGGAAGTTTTGGCGAGGAATAGGATCTATTTATATTTCTCTGCTTCATTCTCTTCTCTTCTTCATCAAATCCGGCTATTCTGAGGTCTGCCTTTGCATTTTTTAGGACTTCATCAACCTCATCTTTGGGCACTCCCATCATTCTAATAGATTTTACCTGAAGCAAAAAGCAGATAACTTTGAAAGAAATCGAGTGCAGTGAAAGAAATATTTGGGTACTCCCATCCTTCAGGTTTTTAATTGTCTTAACAAAGATGTGCAATATTTGGTTGATTAATTTGATAAAAAAACTATGAAGGAAATTAATTGAGATCATATTATTAGCCCAATGAGACTGTAATACACATACGGTGATACAAGAAATTTCACCATTTCACTTATAAGTGGCAATAAATACGTTATAAGAATATAATCATTCCACAAGGCTGTTGTTATTGCACGGTGTCTAAGATATAGTTACTCTTACCCATCCAAAACTAAGAAGTTAACTACACTAACTTATGATCTCTAGGTCAACGAATCAATTAATAGGCTTTAATAGTTACCCGTTTACTGCATTTATAACAGATTATACATGAATTATAGGCATTCAGATACCAATCTGCAGGTCTGGTCATATGTTTCACTCTGATTTTCTTTTTTTCTCACTATACATCAGTGGCGAAGCCAAGAATTTGTTGGGCTTAAATATTTTGGGAATTTAGGAGCAGCGTCCACGATTTTTTGGTGGAAAATGTTGCACTTGAAAGGGTGAAAGGGTGGGAAGCAGGAGGACGTGTGGTGGCAAGATTGGTCGGCAGATATAGACAAAGTGCCGATCAACTTATACGGTTAGCCAATTTGCAGCGTAAACAGTTATCTTAAAAAGTAAATTTTAGAGGAAATTGGGCATATTTGGATTTCACACTGAAAATGAATCATTTTCGATGACATACGACTTTGTAAAGTATCTTCTCGCAACTACGTAAGGTTTTCTGTGGGGAATCTGGTGTGTATATCCTGTTAAGGGTTACACCTATCCTTCCTCAGTTGGCTTAACATAAGCCATCATCAATACTCATTCAAACAATTATAAGGTGCTAAAATAAATATCGAATTCATAGTAATCACATGGGCAAATGCATCGCATCAACTAAAAAAATACCACATTTCAGCTAGGGAATTTAACACCAATTTCAAAAAAACTTAATAGCATATAGAGAAAGATACTACACATGCGCTATGGAGAAGGGATGAGTTTTGTCACCTTAAGTAGTGATGTTGAATCCAGTGTTAAACACGAGTGATCATCAGAAAAAGGATATATCAATTTCGAACTTTTCTCCGTGGGAATAAGAAGACGCAGAGTATCGGCCTCGATATTCGTGAGCTCCTGCAACTTTTTCCCCAAATCCCTAAGAGTGTCACTCGGATTCATTTCAACTACCAACTTTCGTCCCCTCCATAAAACTAAGCAACTTTGCAAGTCCTGCTTCTGCTCCATGATCTGCCTAAATAAACAAACAAAGAAGCAGATGCTCAAATACTTGTATTACAAAGGCAAACACTACACACACATATATATATATAAAACTATCTTTTTTCAGGTAACTGAAGAAATACTTAGAACAAAGAAAATAACACAAGGTTGAGTATCTTTGACAACCACCACAACCACAATCAGGATTTGCGAAACATCAATTGACAAATGCTGACTGTAACCCTAATTCGTATACATATAGTAATCCATACATCTAGGCTCTAGCAGAAGTTATGAGACCCAAACAAAGCATTAACAAATTCAATCAAATAAGAGATAATTCATAGCTTGAAAAACATAATTAAAAATAAAATAAAATAAATCATCAATTGATGGTACATATTTCAAATTGTATCATAAATTCAGCTGAAATGGAATAGCAATCCGAAGATCTTTTATAAGAGATGAATTAACCAAAAACTTCATCCACGGAATAATACAAAGAAGAATTCAAGGTCAAATTTTCACACCTTAATCATGTAAAATAGAATAAAATCAGCAAACGAATTTGGATAAAAAAAAATCAAGCGGATCCAGCTTACATTCAAGGATTTGACGGTTGATTCTTTCCCAAGACTGCTGGTTCGCGGTTAGAAGAGAAATAAAAAGTGAATGTTAATATATATACAAAGGGGAAGCGTAAGTTAGCATGGTCGTTGATAGAGGAGGCTAATCTACGCGGTCGGCGCGTATGATCACGTTTGCGGTGACGTTGCAGAAAATTCTGGAAGCTGTATGCTGCCAATTTTAATCCCACCATTTTTTCTAATGAAAAATTTGAATTGTTTTTAATGGGATATTAATTTTGATTTTGGTGTTTTTCTTCATTTTCCCATTACCTTATATGCTTGTCCCTTTAATATTATGTATTACAAACAAAGATAATCATAATATGTAAAAAAAAAGAAGATCATAATATTTATGATAAAATTACCCACAGTTATTTAATCCAATTCATAGTAATAAAAATTAATTTAATTTCAATTTCACCAATTTTGATCCATAAATCAATTTTGATTTTACTTTTGTTTTGAAAAAAGAATTATAATTTTTTTCCTGTTGTAAATAGTATGAAATGTGTGGTTTCCTAACTTAACCACTTTGAGGGTCTTTTCAACCTCCCACTAGTGTAAACTTCCCACACCTTAGTCCCATGATGTGTGTAGGAAATAACTTCCATGGAACTTCCATTTGTAACTTCCGGTGGCTTACACCTATATTAATGAGAAAAACTCCCTCCCCATGGATACCCACAATTTTCTCTCTACGGATTGTTGTTCTTTGCATTCTCTCTTTCTCTCTTTGTATTGTTATTTATATTCTTATGTATTTCCACAAACACAAACCAAAGATCTAGATAAATAGGTCATTTTACAACACGTTATTAGCACTAAATGCTCGTCGTGATCGTGGAAAGACAATCGTTCGTAGGACTAGAATACTTGAAGAATTTGTGATTCTGGTGCTCGTGAAAAATGAACCATTTTTGGCACGTGGATGCTTGAAGAACTTGTGATTCGAGTTCGTTCGTGAAATGGTAATCTTGTTCGAAGAATACAATATATTCTTCAACATTTGGGTTTAAGCGTTTCAAGTAAGCCGTAATCCCTTGCAATTTCGATTTCATAAGAGATGCACTAGATCTATTTAATGGCATGAAATGCATGAAGTACATATTTATCTTCAAGTCATTACTTCATTTATACTGTGGATAATTTCAAAATATGATGTGATTCGTAATTATTGGAAGCATGCTTAATTATGTTATAGTATGGTATAAATATCACAATGATTGTTTTTGGTATGTGGTGTAGCAAATTATTTTATCATTTGCATTCATTCCGGATTCAATGAATAGAGACGATAAATGTGTGATTGTATATTGTCAAATGATTATAATACATTGCTGGTTTATTTCATGTTTCGAGGATTTGATATGAAATTGTATTATGAATGTTTTATCATAATATTTAGAATACAATGCACTAAGAAGCTTATGAATAAATATGCACTGTAGAATGAGGGGTGAATATATTTGATGATGAATGTGAAATTGTTTATGTTTCTTACTGAACGTGATTGTAGCCATATTAATAGAATTTTTTTTTCTCGGTTGAATTTGTATTGCATGAATTGTTAGAAAATTTTGCTACAATAACTTGGTCATTTCATTTTGAGATGATCTAATGCACTGCTGATACTTGATAGCATTATGGATCTATTTAGTTAATTCATGATTACCTACCGGAATAATTTCAGAATTAGTTCGTGGAATTTATATGAGATTGTACATGCTATATATTGTTTATATTATTTAGCATGTTATATTTTATATATTTGACAATTTACAAAGTCTTAATTGCATGAAGATTTTGGTCCATGTCTAATGGAGAATTCTATTCAATTGATCCATATCTGTCATATGTAATTTTGTGATATGAAAATGGTAAACAATATTTCGTTCGTCGTTATGGTTTATCGTATGTAATCCATGAATGTGTATGAACATGTGGTGTATTAATTATTAGACCGGAAGTTCTAATATGTGCAAAATATTCATGAAATTGTTTATGGAGGTTACATTCCCATAAAACAATAATACTCCTTATTGTATTTGATTTGAGATAAAACACATGACCAAACTCAAGTTTACCCAACTTAATGTATCTGGTGAAAGTTATATTAGTTGGAGAATGGATGTTAAGATCCATACGCTTAGTGGCCAATTGAGAATGATTATTTTTAAGGATAATTTATTAGGTAAAGCCCAGAAGGCTGAGACTATGTTCTGATTACGAGATAATTAGATGAAATCCTTCGTCTGGACCAATGTTTTGAAAACCGGACCGGACCGGCCGGTCCAACCGGTTCGACCGCGAACCGCCTGCCTATCCGGTCCGGTTGGTTACCAAAACTCGGAAAACCCAAAAACCCGGGTCATAGGGCGAAAATCCGGTCTGACCGCTAAGAACCGGTAAAACCGGAAATCGGAGAAAAACCCGGTTTTAGCTCAATAATGATTATTCCCGTCGGAATTTCGGGGTGGTTGGTCGGATATTGGCGAGGGTGGTCGGATCTGAATCGGGAGTGGCCGGATCTGAGTCGCGGTGAGTTGTGGCTGGCCGGATCCATGGCTGAAGAAAAAGGACGAAATGAGGGATATATGTTACTTCAAGATGGAGAGAAGGTAGAAATTGAGAAAATAACAGTGAAGGCAGTGGCTGGATGAAAGAGAAAGAAAATGAGGGATTGACGGGGAAGATGAAGAAATGAGAGAGGAGAGAGAAACTAAAAAACAAAAAAATTAAACTGGTAAGACAAATATATATATAAAAAAGTGTGGAGTGAAGTAGGGTAAGTAAAAAAAAAAAGAAAAGAATTTGCTGAAAATATAAAATATATATAATAGAGTAATTTTAAATTATTAGAATTAATAAAAAAAAAAAGCCAAAAACCCGGTTGAACCACGGTTGGACCGGTCCAACCGTGACCCAGTCATCTGTCCGGTTCGATGTCTGGTCCGGTTTTCAAAACATTGGTCTGGACTATTCATCAAACGATGGGTTCCCATAAAGAATGGGATAACCTGACTAGTCGTTTTGATTACCAAAAGACAATATACTTGCCGTAAGCAAGGAACAAGTGAATTCATAAACGATTTGTATATGAATTTTAAAATCCGAATAGAGCTCAAAATCAGAACATAGATATATGTTTTATATATGATGGATCTAAGAATTGGTCGCGCACCTGAAGTGCGAGGAACGTTGGGGCTGGAGATGCAAATAATAATGCACAAGCCTAGACTGAGTTAGTAGAGGTGATTTTTTTCTATACATAGCCCATCACTCAGCTTCCATACTTGGGCACATCTGACCAAATGACTCATATTGGGATATGATTGAACTTTGATTTCCTGAAATATGCATTATGTTCATTTTATGTCTCTAGTTTATTAGTTTATTGAATTTCAATAATCTTACTTCATATGCTCATGTTAGGAATCATATTCATATTTTGATTATGTCTAGTTTATGCTCTAGACCAGATATTTATGCTCTAAGTTAATTATTATGTTATTCGGTGGTGGTTGCTTGATGAATTTATTTAGTACCTGAAGTACTGAATATATATGATTAGATTTATATAACTCTATAGACATGACATGTGGGGATAAATGTCTGGCAGATAGTGCGACAACACATACTATCCTGAGAGATATGTCGTACTTAATTAATTTCATGTCTATTTGTAGCAAGACCTCTTTGATAACTAAATGAGGCACATGTACTTTTGATAGATGGTTATGATAATGTCCAAATTATGTATCTCATGGCACAGTTTTGCCCATTAAAGTAGCTCATTTTTTTCTCCACGTTCCAGTAGAACGTTGTTAAACTTTAAAGATATTTCAGCTAATGGTTATTTTGTTGAAACCATTGAACACAAGAAATTGATATGTGCATCATCTCTAACGTGTACGGCCATAAGCGTACATTGGGAAAATTAGAGGAATTTTCGACACGGTTATAAAGAACAACAATTTGTATGCCAGAAGCATAAGTTGTCGATTGCTCGAAATTAAGTAATTTGATTATATGTCAGCATACGCACATACATGTAATGATTCAATTCATTTCTTGGAGGTAATCCAAGGAGATACATGTGGACTATGTATCACCATCTTCAACTAAAATTTAGAACCTTAGACAGACGATCTCTCACCCGCTCAATTGCGGACTGTCACTTTGATGAGACTGTCTTCCCGCCGTTAGGGGGAGGAAAGAACGTCCATACTAACGTTCCTGGAGAACGGCGTGAAGTCATGTTGGACGACCCCACCGTGTCTCATCAATATCCCCTACATCAGAGATTGATACATAGATGAATAGATCAGCCATACTAACGTTCCTGAAGAACGGCGTGAAGTTGTGTGGGATGACAATATAGATTTACAAGTAATATCCATAGTAACGTTCCCGAAGAACGGCGTGAAATCGTATGGGACGACTTATAAAATCTGCAAAGAACGTCCATACTAATGTTCCTAAAGAAGAATATGAAGTCGTGTAGAACGAATAATGCCAGACTCATTCTCTGATTTGAAAAAGTGACGAGATCTCAAGTAAGCCAGCAATGGCAGATGGCCTAGAAGGATAAAATATGGGTAGGCCATCAATCCCTGCTAACCAATCTTGCCTCCCTGCCTAGAAGAGGGGGAGAGCAATGGGATCAAAGGATTCTCATCTCCAGAAGAGAATAATGCCCGACATCGAATCCGGTTAGCACAAGTACCAATGGGATCCCACCTGATCCATCTCATAAAACAATTCTACAACATGGATTCGTCTAGGAGACGAAGTCGGGGGACGCCTCGACATCAATATCCATTATCGAGAATAGGAAAATCTCGGTTAGTTATTCATGCAAATGAGATGTTGTATCAGACTGAAATGATCATCGATGACAAATTTCCTTACACATTAGCTACTGAACTTTTTATTGGGTGATGATATATAACCTTGATCAAATAAGTGTAAACAAAGGGATGGTCCGCCGAAATGAGAAAATAAACAATACGAGCTGAATTTGATTCCTTGATAAAATGAAGAGTGTAGAGACCAGTAGTTCCTACAACTCCTTGAATTTCACCCATGGAATATAAGTGAGTACTCACAAAGGAATGAAATGAGATTGGGAACCAGAAGATTCATCTCATAG